TTCATAAAATGCTGTGACATTGGTGATAGAAAAGATACATGATGTTTAGTCATTTATATGCATCTACCTTGTTTCTAGATGAAGACATTGTAATTTTGTTTAAACTCAGATGTAGGTAGCGTGGTGTTTCTAGAGATATCGAAATCTAGGAAACGTTGCTTAAGAAAATAAATACGTAGTACGCGACAAAAATTGAATCGGATAAAGTCAGTGTGGAAACTTTATAGCCATCTATGTCTCACACTTGCTTGCTGTTCCCTGGATGTGAAATTTTATTACACTGCTACTTTCCAATTTATATTATTTTTTTACCTTGTTGTAACCTGGGAGTCCAGGTACTCTGAAGAACTGTTATACACCAGTCTTTCTTCTCTCTTGTTGAGCGGCATTCTGAGAAGATTCAGCCGACCCAAGGTTGTTTAAAGCGGTTGTAAACTGTTGATATCTTGCTGAAGTGAGGACCGAAGTGTGATCAGCTTTCAGGAGTTTTATCATAAAAGTCTTTGACAAGACTTGTCGGAGTCTCATCTTGGCTGTTGTTTTTGCTGTATTCCACGAGCAATGATTAACATGAAGGATTTTTGGTGAATCCGTACTTTTTCAGTGTCACATAGTAAAGAATCACCGTTAAAAATTCAAAAGTGATCAGATCGGCTGAGGTGCGCATGGCAGTAAAAAATATTGTTGGAATTCAAGTAGTTTACATTCAAAGGCGCAAAATATTTTCAAACACCAATGATCGCTCATTATTTCAAATTCTTCCTCTGCCATGTCTGCAGCACCTTTTTCGTTTTCTTTCACACTTGAATAGAAGCTAAAAATATGCTATGCCCTGGCTAGGGTTTTTTAATTTTGTAAAGAGAGCGTCATTTGAATGATGCGCCGATCACACCTCTTAGATTTTACCGCAAGTAAGTGTTGTTGAACAAAACCGCGTTCTAATCCAACTTCAATTTAGTCGAAACCTTTATCTGAACATTTATTTTTGTAAACAGTGTAAAGAGGACCGAACGCTTATAGTGGAAGGACATTTATTTAATTAGACCAACCCTCTAATACAGAGGCCCACCACTCGCGTAAAACCGTGGTTTGGGTTAGACCTCGTGTAAATAACCGGCCCAAAGTCTTAGGTTTTTTTTATCACGCATCGGCGAAAGGCCCCAGTGAAACAGCTTTTATCTTCTGCAGCGTAACGGCAATCAATGGAAAAATCATACCACACGTTATTGTTGCGACGAAAAACCGTTTAAACCCAAGTACGTTGTTGTATATAGGAGGTCATTTCTATTTCGGTTGGAGCATGCATCGCATCATTTTGTAGTGGTTAAAAAATACTTTTATTTTGTTGTAATTCAACTCGAGCTACCTTGTAAATATGCTCTATAAATTCATGCCCGAGGACAAAACGCTATGCAAATCGGGAATAATTTATTGCACATACTAATAGCGTGTCAGAGTCCCTTTAACTGCCTATAGAAACCCAAGTATCAAATAGCTCAGGCCGGCAGTAGTTACTTGCCGCGCGTTACTCAGACGTGACATTTTTGTAGAAAAACTAACAGAACCTATCGACTGGATGACTTACACATGATATCATGTGATATCATGTGTAAGTCATCCAGTTGATAGGTTCTGTTAGTTTGCTTGCGGTTGTTGTTTTTTCTTTATTTTTAATGCTTGCATCACTTGTTAATATTTTGAGATGTTTTCGTTATTTCTCATGCTACGTTAGGGAGACTTTGGACCACAATTGGTGACTTCTCATCAAACTTGAGGCATATATCACATTCATGTCGTGTGACTAGTCTAACGTGGGTGATTAAGATCCCTTCAAGACTACATCACAACCATCTGTTGAAACTTCAATTGAGACAGACGCAGCAAACCTGCGAGCCTTCCTCAAACCAGGGAAAGATATTCTTTAGGTGCTACTCAGGCACGTGAGTACTAATACTTTATTTACCGAAACCAATAACACATCCTTCTTGAGCGCGGTGTTATTAAATTCGATCGATCATATCAAAAATGGCGGATGAACTTGCAGAAATCCTAAAGGAAAAGGCAAAGCAAGCAATTGGCGTCCATTCTTCAGACCTAAATGATCTGAGCAAAGGAATATGGAAGAACCCACAACTGAATTTTAAGGAAACGTATGCTCACGAGCTACTAACGAAGTTTTTGGCGGAGCATGGTTTCTGTGTTACTCCTCATTACACTTTGGATACGGCTTTCCGAGCTGAGTGCGGAGAGGATGGA